CAGGTTCTGAATAATACTCACAGATTCTGAATAATACTCGCATGTTCTGAATAATACTCACAGGTTATGAATAATACCCACAGGTTCTGAATAATAGTCACACGTTCTGAATAATACTCACAGGTTTTGAATCTTACTCACAATTTCTGAATAATACTCACATGTTCTGAATAATACTCACATGTTCTGAATAATACTCACATGTTCTGAATAATATTCACAGGTTCTGAATAATACTCACATGTCCTGAATAACACTCACAGGTTCTGAATAATATTCACAGGTTCTGAATAATACTCACATGTTCTGAATAATACACACACGTTCTGAATAATACTCACAGGTTCTGAATAATATTCACACATTCTGTATAATTTGCTCAGATTCTGAATAATACTCACATGTTCTGAATAATACTCACAGGTTCTGAATAATACTCACAGGTTATGAATAATAGTCACACGTTCTGAATAAAACTCACAGGTTGTGAATCATACTCACAGGTTGTGAATCATACTCACATGTTCTGATTAATACTCACATGTTCTGAATAATACTCACATATTCTGAATAATACTCACATGTTATGAATAACACACACAGGTTCTAAAAAATACTCAGACGTTCTTAATAATACTCACATGTTCTGATTAATACTCACATGTTCTAATAATACTCACAGCTTCACCATGAGAGGTAAACAACTGTTCTTATAGAGTCTAAAAAAGTTACATCTGGTCCTCTGGACAGTCAAAAAATAATAATTGCAGAAACGTTTCGTCTTTCATCTGAAAGACTTCCTCAGTCTGAGGCGCTGTATTCAGCTCAGTTTTATGAATAGCACCCTCTTGCAGTGGAACAACTGATGCGCGAGCGAGCGCCCAGGTTTTTCACCGTGTTCATGGTAACCCTGTCAAGTTTTAGAGATTAAACATTCTGCCTGCTGACTGGACAAAGTATTAAATTCAATTTGAAGTAGTAAACATTTTTTTATTAGGTCCTGCGAGGGGGAGTGGCTTTATTCTCTGTCTAATTGTAGTGTCTCATCCGTTAACTGTTTTAGCCAAACTGAGCCCTTATTATTTTTTGTTTGCACAGTAGAAAATGTGTTGACCCCTCAGGTAGGCCTTTAATGCCTCCCAGACAGTACAGAGTGGCATTC